GAGGAGCGAGGAGAGGAGGAGGAGGAGAGAGGAGCAGGAGGAGGAGGAGGAGGAGCGGAGGAGGAGCGAGGAGGAGGAGGAGGAGGAGGAGCGAGGAGGAGGAGCGAGGAGCGAGGAGGAGGAGGAGGAGGAGGAAAAGGAGGAGCGAGGAGGAGGAGCGAAGAGGAGGAGGAGGAGGAGGAGGGAGGAGGAGGGAGAACGTACGGACTTCTTGGGCCGGCGCGTGACCCCCTTCCCTGGCTCACAAGGTACGCCGAGGGCAGCGCCAGGGGCGCCGCCCGTGGAGGCCAGCGCGACCCGAGAAACCCGCCTCTGCGAGGGGGCTCCACAAGCAGCCACTGCCAGGTGCGCCCAGCCTCCTCTTGTTATTAAGAAAATCATGGAGGCCCCGCGCGGCAACTTGAGACCCGATTTACGTCGGATCCACGTCGGATTCACGTCGGGTTACGTCGGACAACGTCGGAATTACGTCGGATGTACGTCGGACTGACGCGGGAGCATCGCCGAGCAAGCGTCGACCCATAGCTTACGGAGCTAACGTGTGGACTACATATATCAATTATGACACGCCGCACGAGGCCTCCAGGATTTTCCTCGTAACCCTTGGAAGGGCTGCGGGCCGACGAGCCCGCAGAAGGCGGGCAGAAAGGGCCGTGCCGAACAACAACGGATGGCTACTCTCGTGATCCAGGCAGAGCGGGGCGGGACACCTGAGGACCACTCCCGAATACAGTCAGCACCGCAATAGCGGCACAAAGACACAGAGCTCTGGACGCCCCGAGGAAGAGGAAGAGGAAGAGGAGGAGGAGGAGGAGGAGGAGCAGAAGCGAGGAGGAGGAAGAGAAGGAGGAGGAGGAGGAGGAGGAGGAGGAGAGGAGGGAGGAGGAGGAGGAAGAGCGAGGAGGAGGAGCGAGAAGGGGAGGGGATAGAAGAGGAGGTTGTGGGAAGAGAGAAAGAGCGAGGAGGAGGAGGAGGAGGAGGAGGAGGAGAGGAGGGGAAGAAAGATCGAGGCCCGAGGTCTGTGCCCCGCCAACCCGTGCGGGGTCCTCGCTCTCCGGCAGAGGACCGGCTCTCCCGTCCTCTTCCCGCCCGCCGCCTCGCGCTCGCCCCCCTGCTCCTCCCCGCGGCGTTTGCCGACAGCGCAAGCGTCGCCACGTTCGTGGGCTCGTGGGTGCCTCCTCCTCCTCCCTCCTCCTCCTCTCCTCCCTCCCTCCTCTCTCCTCCTCCTCGCTCTTCCTCCTCATATCCTCCCTCGCTCTTCCTCCTCCTCCCCTCCTCCTCCTCCTCCTCCTCCTCCTCCTCCTCCTCCTCCTCTTCCTGCCCAGATCCAAGTAAGACCTCGCCTCCCCGGGTGCTGCCAGCCGAGAAACTGTCGCCGCTGCAATGAGCACCTGGGCGGTCCAGCGGAGTACTGTGCCACCAGATGCGCAACTGCCGTTATGTTCGCGAACTCGCGCGGGGTCCACACGGGAGCGCGGTCCTACGTGAACCTTTTCAATGCAAAAACAAATACCAGATGCGGGTGTTTCCATCATCAAACGCTCCAGCGATGGCCAAACCAACATCGTCTGGAAGTGTTTTATCAAAGCGTTGTCGGAGGGGTCGGACGATTAAGACCGAACCGCATGTATGCCCCAGGGGACAGCTTCGTTTGACACATGCTGTTACGGTCTGGACAGCCAACGCTTTCTGGTCAAGTGCAAAACAATTTACTCAAAAATGGTACCTTTGCGTTCGCCGTGGAACAACATGGATGCGCAAGCGCGGGGAGAACTTGGAGGAGGAGGAAGAGGTGGAGGAGGAGAGAACAAAAACAGTCGCATAAAGAAACTCGCGCGTGCGTGGGCCGATCTGGCTAGACGGCACCCGCACAAGAACCCTCGCGAGCAAGAGCGAAGGTGGGAGGGAAAAAGGTGGAGGAAAAGAGGATGAACTGAGGATGGGCTGGCATTCCTTTGGCTACGTGAGACCAACCGACAAAGTATATGAGAATACCAGCAGTGCCATTCAAGGCCGAAAAGGGCTCATCAGAATGCAATGCGCTGCTCGACCATGTGAGAGCGAGCTGCTGGATCTCAGCCCAACACTAGCCAGGTAATATTACAACTAAACGACTTCGATGTCATTCGCAAGTCCCCTGGTGAGGATCACTCTACTCGAAGCAAAAGAAACTCCTAGTTCGCTCGCGCTGGCACCCCTTGGGGGTCCCCCGACGAACTATACCCCAGACAATGTCAGGCAAATCCCCAGCAATGTCCGTCAAAGCTGAGATTGCACGTCGGTCTCCCGCCTTACACGGTCGCGGCGATCTGTGGTGTGAACTACGTGGTGCATTTCATGGTACTCAAGAGCTGAATGAGACCGCCGAGGGTTCGCCACGTTGGTGCCCGTTGCCGCCTGTTGCCGCCTGTGAGGGCATGCCGAGGACT